GATATTTTCTATTGAAAATCCTTTGAAGCATTTTCTCCCTGTGTTCTTCAAGAGTTCTTCATTGTGTTCTTATTGATTGCTACCTGCTTGATTTACATACTGTCCGCTGCGTACTCAATGTCTATCTAATTAATCAAGTAAGTTTTCAATACCCTGAACTGAGTAATACGGTCCAAGAGAATACCTATTTTCTAAGAAAACCATACACTATAACCCAAAAATTTACAAAATAATTTTCTTAAAAGAGTCTCAAAAATTCAAAACGAACATACTACTAACATAACTAGAATGAGTGCCTTCTTAGCATGCTCTAATTAGACAGAGCCTGATCACCTATGTCTAATTAAGCATGTATCAGGAGAGACGCGGACCGGTTATGTTAGATGTTCGTCTAAAGTTAATAACTTCTTATTCAAATAAGAAAAGTACGATTTGCATATGTGGGTTTGCATAAACATTGCATCTTTTTTATATTTATTATGATCCGTTCAATAATTTAAATTTTGTTAAATATCGCAGCACTATGTCGTCATCTAACGAATATTCAAACTCGGAAGAGTACGACCCCTCCGAGCATAGTTACGATAGTGGCGACGATGTCGTCGAGTCCCCGACGCGATCACCTACCCTCGTGCCGCCCCGCTCTATGCCCGCGCATCCATTAGCGGCACATGGAGTTAGAGTTCGGGCCACCACCCGAAAGAGTATTCCTCTGCCCGTAAGGGTGTCTTTCTCTGCCCCTTCCAGAGTTGGGAGGGAGTCATCTCAGTCGCGCACCTGTAGCGTGACGCCCCCACCAAATACCAGGGCCTCGACAGAGCGCTCTCCGGTTATGACCACCTTAGAGAACCTATAGGTTTTGGGCATCGCCCAAGACCTAAAGATGTGTGAGCTTAGGTTAGATCATCATCGACACTTTGCCGACGGGGTGATTATGGCCCTAGGCACACAAGACAATGTGATGGATCGCTCGTTGGAGTTGATTAACACCGCTAGGGGAGCGATTAGGAGGTTATATACCTATTTGGCGGTGTTAGCGGGAGTTTTGGTGGTAGTGATGGGACTACTTGTTTGGAGTCTAATGCGCTAGAAGACTCTATTTTACTAAGTTTTTGATAGATCAAACTTAGAATCTTCTTTTGGGGCATGTAGCCGTGACTTATGAACAATTTCTTTCTTTTTGTTGCACGTCTTTRTTTTCTTTATGGATGATATGGGTTTTTATTTTGGTTAAATTATGTTGATTAATGATTGAATGCCTTTATTATTACAAGTTATTATATATTGCCATGGATGCATGTCTATATGATTGTATTATGCCGTGCATAATTCAATAAAGTAGATACARTGATAAAYAGTAAAAATAACCAAACTTCGAWTTAAAATTTGTGCRTTAGAAAYATGCCTCCAAGAAGAGAAGATCCCGAAATWGYRAGACTTGTGTCCGAGCAAATTCTTGCGGCCCTTCCTAATATAGTTAGCCAAGTAGCAGCAGGCTTGAACGCTAACCAAGCAAACAACCAAGATACAACAACAAATAGAGATTACTTACTTGGATTGAAGGAATGGATTTCGTCCTTCATATCAGTAAATGTGCTGGAGGGAGCAAAGTGGAGTTTACGGCCTGTTTACTGCACGGACGGGCATTAACATGGTGGAATACCCAGATACGAACCCGAGGTCAAGAAGTAACCAACAGACTTACGTGGGAAGAATTCAAGAAATTACTCAAGGAAGAGTACTGTCCGAGGAGCGAGATCCAGAAGTTAGAAGCAGAACTGTGGAATCACGAAATGAAGGGAAGTGATGTAGACTCATACACTGCTCGCTTTCATGAGCTAGCAAAACTGGTGCCACACTTAGTATCACCCAAAGAGAACCAAATTGACCGTTATGTTTGGGGTTTAGCTCCAGAAATCTGGGGGAATGTGACTTCGGCCAATCCAAAAACACTTCAGGACGCTGTGAACTTAGCGACAAAACTCACCAACAATGCTATTTGGTCAGGATCATTTGCAAATGATAAAGTCAAGGATAAGAGAAGAATGGAGGAGCCCATGAGAAAGAACTACAGCGAGAGGGGCGGTAAGGCCCAAAAAGTGATAAGAAACTTTGGGGCTCAGACACAGACAGTAGAAAAGGGCAAGGGAACTTACTCTAAGTGTGATAAGTGCATTAATCACCATGGTGGAAGATGCATCATCTGTCTCAAATGCAACAAAGGAGGTCATTTCTCTAAAGATTACAGGAGCGGAAGGAGACGAACATGCCACGAGTGCGGAAGTTCGGATCACTTCAGAAATGCATGCCCGAGACTGAATCGAGGGCCAGTTACTAACCCATCACGACCAGTCAACCAAGAAAATCAAGGAGGCCAAGCACGAGGTCGAGCGTTTGAGATTGGCGTAGAAGAAGCTAGGCAAGACCTGAACGTGGTCACAGGTACATTCCTCCTGAACAATCATTACGCATCCGTATTATTTGATTCTGGAGCAGATAGGAGCTTCGTGTCACTAGAATTTAGACCAAAGATTAGTTTAAAGTCACAAAAGCTGAAAGAAGATTTCGTTATCGAGTTTGCTAATGGACAGGAAGTTAGGAATAAAGACGTAATCACGAATTGTACCTTATGTTTAGCCGAACAAGACTTTAGCATAGACCTTATTCCAATCAAATTAGGAAGCTTTGATGTAGTTGTGGGTATGGATTGACTATCCAAAAATCGAGCCGAGATATGTTGTTCTGAGAAGACCATCCGAATTTTAAAAGGAAGTGAAACGCTCGTGGTGCACGGAGAGAAGTCCTAGAGAAATTTCAAGTTAGTAACAGGTATGAAGATGCAGAAATATTTGAAAAAAGAATATGTCGCATTTATGGCCCACATTATGGATAAGGGAATCGAAGAGAAACGCATCCAGGATTTTCCCATAGTTTGGGATTTTCCAGAGGTATTTCCTGATGAGCTGCCAGAATTACCCCCATTACGGCAAGTTGAATTTCATATTGACTTAATTCTTGGAGCAGCGCCCGTAGCCAAATCACCTTATCGTTTGGCACCATCGAAAATGAAAGAATTGTCAGAACAACTTAAGGAGCTACTAGACAAAGGATTCATCAGACCCAACTCTTCGCCCTGGGGAGCTCCAATACTATTTGTTAAAAAGAAAGACGGATCCCTTCGGATGTGCATCGATTATAGGGAACTCAATAAGCTGATCATCAAGAACCGATATCCCCTTCCCCAAATCGATGACTTGTTCGATCAACTTAAAGGTGCCACTTACTTCTCAAAGATCGATCTTCGATCCGGATACCATCAAATGAGGGTCCGTGCGGTAGATATTCCTAAGACGGCGTTCAAACTCGTTATGGTCATTATGAGTTCTTAGTTATGCCCTTTGGGTTAACTAACGCGTCGGTAGTCTTTATGGATTAAATGAATAGAGTATGTAGGCCATATTTGGATAAGTTCATGATTGTATTTATAGATGACATACTGATCTATTCGCAAAACAAGGAGGAGCATGAGCGGCACTTAAAGTTAATACTTGAGCTGTTAAGGGATCAAAAATTTTATGCCAAATTCTCCGAATGCGAATTTTGGGTTCGTGAGGTGCACTTCCTTGGTCATGTGGTAAATGAGAAGGGAATTCATGTTGATCCGGCCAAAGTTGAAATTTGCCAATTTTTTGGGTTAGAAGGTTACTATCGCCGTGTTATTTCAAATTTCTCCAAGATCGCACAACCACTGACGGCATTAACCTAGAAGGATAAGGAGTTTATGTGGGGAGAAAAGCAAGAAGAAGAGTTCCAATTGCTCAAGCATAAGATATGTCACGCACCGATCTTAGCGCTACTAGAAGGTACGGAGAAATTTTTGGTATACTGCGATACGTCACACCAAGGCTTGGGATGTGTGCTGATGCAAAATGACAAGGTCATTGCTTATGCATCAAGGCAACTCAAGGTTCATGAAAAGAACTACACCACTCACGACTTGGAGCTAGGAGCAGTGGTGTTTGCACTTAAGATTTGGAGACATTATCTCTACGCCACCAAATGTACAATCTTCACTGATCACAAAAGCCTTCAACATATCCTAGACCAAAAGATGTTGAACATGAGGCAAAGGAGATGGGTCGAACTTCTCAACGATTATGACTGTGAAATAAAGTACCACCCGGGGAAAGCTAACGTGGTAGCAGAAGCATTAAGCCGGAAAGAAAGGGTAAAACCATCAAGGGTACGAGCCATGGGGATGTTGATTCAAACGAACCTAAAAACGCAAATTCTTGAAGCTCAAGAAGAGGCATTGAAAATGGAGAATATGAGGAACGAGACCTTGCACCACTTAGAGAAGGAATTCAAAACTTGAGCAGACGGGGTGCGTTACTTCAGAGATAGAGTTTGTGTTGGACCTGTAAATTCAACTTTGATATTGATCTCTTACTCTGAATGAACTCTTAGGACGATCACAGTGTAGCGGAAACAATTATAAGAACAAAACAGAGTAATTAAACCAAGAATACACAGTTTAATATGAGAAAGAAGATGAACACAGGATAATAGCTTCAAAGGTTTTCAATTCATTCAATTGAAATTTAGACGATTACAATTCGGAAGCACACTGAATACAAAGGCCTAAGCGGCTATATATACTAGACCCTAACGACCTTACTGACATGATCTAGAAAGTGAAATCATCTAAGCCGTCCAAATAAATTGTATTAAAATCTAGTCACGTGAGAAGCACATGCAGCTAACAACCTTTGAAAAATAGTAGAACAGGATCTTCACAAAAGACTAATCCACAGACCCTCTGTGAGCCATCTCAGAGGCTCTGTTGTAGAAGACTTGTATGATCTTATTGTCAGAGGACCATTTTCCAGAACCTCTGTGAGAGACATCAGAGTAACTGTTGAACTTTACTTGCACGATGAAACAGCTTCTGTTGCTAGTCCTCTGATGTCTTCTGTGGAAGATACCCTTCTGTCAACACTTACAGAATACTTTTTCATACTTTTACAATAAGTGAATATTAGAGCTAACAATCTCCCCCAAAGTATGAAAAAGTAAAATTGGACAAAAGAATGCAAGAAATGACTAAAAGAAAGAATTACATGAGAAGATTAAACTCATCCTCTGACAAGAATGACATAAAAGAAATGAATTAAAAATTGTTGCTCAGGCCTATACTATTATAGAAGATTAGTCCACAGCAGAGTCTGGATAGTCAACTATGGTAAATTGCATATCTGACTTGATAGTTTTGTAGACTTTGAAAATCCACTCTCTGAAGGAGACTTGAACTTTGATTGCTTCCAGAATACCGGTCACTTCGTCCGCCCTTAAATGCCCTCTGTGCACCTCTGCTGCTATTAGGTTGAACACCCACTCAAGACACTCTGTCGACTACTTGTTCACCTCTACCGGATCAAAGAACCTTAGAATGTCATCCTTGTCCAAGAACACAAACCCAAAGACGGGATTGTGGACAATGGTGTTGGGATGACATCTAAGTAACCAACTTGGCCTGTTCTTCGGAGGGGAAATCTTCAAATCTGTTTGGGCCAACCTCATCGCTATGAAGATCAACTCTAATGAATGATCCATCATACTAACTTGAGTGCCTAGGGCTGTGATCACTCCATCTGCAAAGTGTCGATAGTGCTCCAGCCTAAGCTGACACATCTCCAGATCTTGAGATATACCCAAAATCCACAATTTCTCCAGGGTGGTCATACCCGGAGTACCCTCCGATGTGGTCCTGGTAGCGGGTGGAGGTGTTATACTACGAGTGCGTGATTGTGATGACTTCCTCACAGCTCCAGTTGGGGCAGAGAAAGTCATCCTCACGGGTGGAGGAATGCTCATTCGGGCGGTAGCCCGAAATCTGGCTCCTTGTGGCGCTACAGGCTGTGCGGGCACAGAGCTAGGCGGCTGTGGGGTGGGTGACCGCGCTGAAGATTCAGTGGTATCATTGCCACTATCATAGCTGTGCTCTGAGGGATCGTATTCTTCGGAGCTTACATGATCATTTTCCGACATAATGCTGCGATATTTAAAAAAAATTAAAATCATTAAACGAATCATAATAGAAAGGATACAAATATTTATGCAAACTCACACAAGCGAACCGTGTTTTTCTTAATGAGTAAGAAGT